TATGTTTTTGTTTGTTCATGTATGTTCTGTGTTTGTTGTAAAAATAAAAAAATATTTTTTTAAAAAAAAGACTATTATTGGTGCTATAAAATTAGAATTGGTGCTATAAAAAAGATTAGATGGAACAAGGTCTCTCTCAACCTCTAATTTAGCAAAAATACCAAAGCGGATCCAAACTATGGCATGAATGCCACCCCAACACAATAACAGTCATTACTACTTGCACACCCAACACAATAACGATCATCAGGTTTTGCAGAAGCACATCAAAAGAAAGATGATGGTAGGAAGCACTTCAGCCTCATTGAATATGCTCCCTTTTGGAAGGAATCAGGATGTAAACTATCTCATCCTTAAGCACTTAGGGTAGTGGCCATACATGCCTGGATATATACTGCCAGATTAGAGCTATACCTCTGATACTATGCAGAATACTGCAGTCACTGAGATAATTGCTCCTTTTCTCTTACCAGTTATCCACTGGCCATTCTCAAACTTCAGACTCTGTCCAGTAAGTGTCATAACAGGAGTTCCATATTCTAAGCCTAACTCAATTTCACGGGTAGATCTGTCCAGCTGTAAAGAAGAGAAGTCAATGCAATACTTTCCCAAATATTTTATTTCCCTTAGTTCCTGTTCATTTTCTTAGCATTAGGCAAACCTGTACAAAATATGCTAAATCAATTTATTCCAGAGCATAAAAACATATATCCTATTTAAGTATGCCTGGGAAGTTGTTTATCATCCCAACACAGATGCTCCCATAATGTTGCATCATACTAAGGGAGCATGGATGCAATTCTATAGCTCTACAGTGCCACAGGCATTGCAGAATATGTTGGATTCCCACCATCAAGATCAGGAAACTTCCAATATCAGATTTCTTTTCCAACTTCCTCTGAAGCCAGCTCCTCCTGAGATTGGGAAATCTGAACCACAAAAAGTCCAGAACAAAAGAATAGTAAGAGGTGGACTAGGCTGAGCTAGAATGTAAATCCCACTCACTCCTCTATCTTCCAATACAGAATGGAAATTTCATAGAGCTTGAGAACTGCTCTAAATCTCTTTGTTTGCACACAATGCAAGGAATTTTTAAAAGTATTTTATTTATTCAGTACTTTCTTCAAAGAAAGATAGATGGCCAAGTTCATTTTGCTTATAAAATAGAAATATTATGTGGTTCCTGTAGCCAACTATTTCATATTTTTCTGTTCACGCAGTTTTAGGGTTTGTTATTTATTGTAAATAGGTTATTTTATTATTTATTTTACATAAATAAAAATGGGTAAAGGTGGAGCTATACCTGTATAACATCACAAATGGGATTCAACAAATAACAGTACTGGTTCTCCCTTTCTGAATAATTATTTGTATGTGACAGTGGCTTAAAGACTCTCATATTCTGATGAAAAACATTGCATAAGTCTCTTCAGTCCCCTCCAGAACTTACCGAATGGAGGTTGGAAAGTGAGGCTGATTTTCTGGGTGGAGTTTTCTTTGGACTGAATGTGTTTCCAAAAAGTGGCATCTTATCTAAATTCCTCTTATCTTTGTTAAAAAAAAAAAAGGATTGTTATTTCATTTAATAATATATACATTTTTTTTACTAAGGGCATTGTTATGTCCCAGGCTGCTTTCATACTAGACATTTGCTATGGAATCACCAAGCATCATTTGCCTATATTTTACATGGGATCCAGAAAATATGGTAGCTTTTTTTCCTATCATACAAAACCCAACATTGTTTTTTAGAAACAATAATAGAACAATAGCACAACTTTGATAGGTGTGGATACTCCTAAAAGGTTTTTTTTCCCCTTCAATCTTATGTTGGGGCAAATATCTCATCAAAGAGTATGGCCATGCTGGCTAGAGAAAATGCAAGATGTAATTCAAAATATCTGGTTTGGGGCACCAGGTAAATGAAAATTGACATGAATTATTTTCTTTACACACAATTATCAAGTCTTTATACCTTTCATTATTGTTGCTTCTTACTTATATTCTACCTTCCCCCTCAGAGGATACATATTATTTACCCCAGACATCAAGATTAATAAGTACCATAACATCTTCCACAAATGATCTTATCTCAGAAGGAGTTTTACTGGATGTATATCAAGCTTGGAATTAACTACACCAGTAATCTTAAATTTCTCATGAAAAAAAGCTCTTACTATACTATGTGCATAAATTCCCTGCAAGAGGTAAGGTTACTAGACGTCCGGCAAAAGGAGGGCATGTCCTCCTTTTTGTCCTCTTGTCTTCTGTCCAGCAGGCAATTCTATATTATATTATCACTAGCATATATTCTTGAAAATAAAGAGTTCTTGGAAAAATATTGCAATTAAAAAACTGGTCTTTCTGATGCTGGAAAAAGTAATTTCATATATGTGTAGGCCTAAGTGTGTTTTTTTTTGTTGTTTTTTTGTTTTTTGCTGTTTTAGATAATTGGTAACTCTATGCAAGAGTGACATCACTGTGTCTTGCCTGGTTAAGCTCAGTGCAGAAATGAATCACTGCCCACAACGGTTGGAAACAGAGAAGTATCTGACCTCAACCAGACTATAAATTCCCAGCTACCATGGGCTATATAGTAGCCCAACATCTCCAGGAGGTACCAGGTTAGGCAAAACAGCCTTGCACAACCATGCAAACAAACTGCTTTAATCAGATGCAACATGTGAGCATGTGTGCAATTGTGGCTGCTCAGCTGAATCTTAGCCTGACGTGCCGCTGGGTAGAGACCGTCTCCTCAAGGGGGTGGGTTGCAATTTTAATGTATCTCAAGCGACCCACCCCTATCAGCCATCTCTGCTCCAAGCAAAATCCCGCTCCAGGATGTTTATGAGAACCTGACATTCCAGACTTCCCGTGCTAGAAATGCCGAATCCAAGCTAACACCACCTTTAAAGGAGCATCATGACAAAGGGCGCTGTGTTCTTGAAGCCCCTCCGTGTTTCGTACCTAGTACGTCGAGCCAAATTTGGGGGACTTTCACACTCAACAAAGACAACACATACCACAGCTGCAACCTTCGAAAACAATCTGCGCAGGCGTACTCTTAACCGATGTTTGAAGCTTCGCGACCCGCCGTAGCCCAGGGACGATCGCGCTGGGGTAGCTGGGCCAGCAGGCACTACCACACAAGGAGAGGGGAAATTATTTTTATTGCAAAATTACGAACGTGAGCCTTTATATACAGGCATTTAAATTGAATATATAAAACTAATAACGCGTAACTGAATCTCTGAACATGAGAAAGATGGTCGTATGTGTAGAAAGCTTGCGAAGTTATAACCCCAATCAGAAGATACAGCCCGTTCTCGTGTAATGGTAGCGACCTAAGCTGCTGTGAATGGAGTGAAGAACAGCCGCGCCGGTGGGATCTTACCATCATTGTAACCTGGGGGGGGAGGAAGAAACAAAAAATAATAATTTTGATACAGATTTTTTTAATGCTGCTGTTCAGTAGCTGAGTTCTCATATAAATTATTCCCAACATATTACATTCTCCGCTAATAGCGAAGAGGTGCTAGGCTCTCCTTAAGACTGGTATACAGGTGGACTAAGGAAATAGTTTCTTCCGCCTGGTTGCTGCGGTAACAGAGAGGACGCCTCGTGAGGGAGCGAACTTCCGGGAGAGGGCGGTCCGTGGCGCAAGCCGAGGGTTGGCTGCCCCCGGAAAGTGAGCATTTTATCCCCGTAATAGCCGTCCCCAAACTGAGCGGTGGCTGGGAGTTCTGAGTGTGGTGTGTGGTTCCTGAGTGGACAATGACTCAGCAGATTGTAGTTCCCAGGTACCAAATTAGAGAATTGGAAAAGGCATTTAGGCCGTCGAGTCTCAGCCCGCCTAGTCTCCTCTTGGACAGATTTAGACAGGAAAAGGAGCGCGGAACGTTTAGTTCTACTGTCGAATTTCTGGCGTTGTTAGGAAGCTTTTTTTTTTTTTTAATATTCTATCGGAATCTATGTTCCAGTAACTTAAATCCATTATTCCGGATCCTACACTTTGGAACAGTAGAGAAGAGATCTTCATTATTTTCTGTGTGACATCTTTTTAGTGACAGCTTGATTTACCATACCCGGATGTAACGTGGTGGACTTAATTTCCACTGTGATTTATGTCATCACATAAATACATGTATTCCCCACAGTGCCCTCTTTTCCAATTCAGTGGACATTTCTGAATGTGCCCACCCCCCAACAATTCAGGTTAGAAACTGGGCAGTAATTATCCAATATAGCTAGATCCAAGGTCACTCTCTTGAGGAGGGTCACACTGGAGCCCACTTCAGAGTCCCCAGCATCTCCCCCCTGCTGCATTCATGATAGCCCCAATCCAATCTCCTCCTCCCTCCCTGGCAGCTGATGCAACTACTTGCCACTCTGGCCACTTCCTCAAGATCAACAGGTGCAAATTCTTCCCAGATGACATCACAAAGAGTCACCCTGGAAGACAAAGAACCCTCACAGTCCCATTACTGGACTCTGTCCAGCCAGCCTCTAACTCCAAAGAAAAATAAATAATTCTATCTACAAAATACTTTGCTAATATAGCTCAGCAGCTCATCTTCCTTAATAGGGTCCAGGCCATTTTAAAAAGGGCAGTTCAACAGCAGCCTGCAGATACAGTTTACTATGTAAGTGACTCCTTTTGATTCCACAAGGAGATCCTAAAATACATTCCAGCACAATCTGATGATAATTTGGTCACTCCAAGGAAGATTGAGCTTTAGGAGCAGGAAAGTAAAATGACTGAATAAAAGTGTGTTTCAAATGGAAATGTGTTTTCCTTCCCGCTTTTTTAATGTTGTTTTCTGCAGGATGGACTTAATACATACTAAAGCATTTTTAAGCCCCCTAAAGGGGTTCCTGATTTTGCCATCCTCAACCCAAGAAGAGAGAAGTGACACCATGAATTGCAATTTAGATGACCTTCCACATTGTATCCTTTTTTCCCTAATTATAAACAACATGAAGTCTGCATGAAAATATTGCTTGTAGATACACATATATATTTCCATTTAGCTGAAAGATGCTTTTGTTATAAAATTGTTATTGGACTAAGTCCCTACTCAATTTTTTTTTTTTAAATAAATCCACTTGAAGTTGACCTCTGAACCTAAGTGCTTGTTATGAAAAATACAAGTAAACGCAACTAAACATACTAGATTCTGTTTGAATTGTGATAAAAATAATTATTTGTTCAGAGCCTTACAAATCAGAATAAGCTTCAGATCTGTGATAGGCAACAAGAGGGTCAAATCTGGCAATCAAATGGACATCCTTTGGTTCCCCACATGGTTATAAAAGAAATTTTTGTATCTGCAGTTCGGTCTCATTGCAGAATTTGGAGTCAGGGAGAGAAGCTACCAGAGTTAAACCCCAACAACTCCTTCTGAAAACTCTATCTTCCAGCAAATGTCATCTAAGAATTTAGTAGTATTAATTATGAGAAGTAAATGCAACTAATTCAGAAACTGAATTCCAGCCTTGCACTGACCAAGATCAGTATTCTAGGAAGTCTACTTTCTATAGTCTTCAATTAAATAATACATATTATATTTAAAAAGCGATATTTAAACCAAAGGAAAAACAGATAGAAATAACAGCAACATTTATATACTGTCTCTATAGACTTTTGAAAAAATCCTTAACAAGATCTATTAGTGTATGCCATTGGCAATATACAAAATGTGAATCAAAAAATCTCTCATTTAGAACTGGGAGTGAGAAGATATGACAGTAGTGATGTAGTAAGTAAAGATATATTGCAGCATTTTTAGCATGCAGAATCCCAGTGTGTTTTTCTTATCTAACTTTAAGCAATTTAGGAATTGTCAAGTACCTTGCTTAGCCTTTCTGATGACAAGGTAAAAATCAATGCAATTTTTCTCTTTTTAAATAGAAAAGAAATTCTAGAGTTACACTTATATAACTAAGTAGGTGCAGAGAATAAAAAGCACATGCCAAGTTGATGATGCTGTTGCATGAACTGGGTTTAAATGATGGAAGCTTTTCAGCTTGAAAGTACTTATGCACAAATGTACATAGCACAAGAAGACAAAAGTAGTTATCAGTATTTGGAGTAGGGTACTAGTGACTATTAGCTGTACTGTTATTCTTCAGACCACTATTAGAGCACTCTTGATCTACATGACTGAATTATTTATCAGCTTGAACATTGCTAGGCATATAGAGATTTTAATTTCTTTAAGTAAATTAAAATTTATAGAGCAACTGAAAATGAACATGATTCTACTAAAGATAAGCATTTTTAAATCCCATTACTTTCAATGGAGGAGATGTAGTATTTTAACTGTTCAGATAAACAGGAATTACAGAATAGAGAATATTTCCTTTTACAGTTCTCCACAAATAAAATAAATTTCAGAACTTTTAAAGAAACTGATATCTATTTATCTTTTTCTTCATTGTTATCACTGAAGGTGATTGAGGATACGATGCTGAGGAAATATACAGGACTGAAGGGTCCTAGAAAAGGAAGACATATAACCAAGGGGAAAGGTAAACATAATGACAATATTAAATCAGTGGTCTAATTGTTTCAAACATAAGGTTTCATTAGAACATATATAATAATGTTCCTTTTTGTCACTGTTGCTTAACTCAAATGTCTTACTAAACTGTTCTTCTAGAATCCAGAATGTTTGAGGAAACTGCCATTAGACTTGGACATCTACTTTTTTCCCTCTTCTATCTACTCAACATACAGCTTCAAAAGTTCACTCATGCAGTCTCTTGAGGTGGAGCATGGGTGCATTGGGGAGAAGGGGCAGAGCAATGGTCCTAATTTTGGCTTGTCAGAGGACTATGATTCAGGGCTAATACCAAATCACAATAGCTGGTTTCATACTATAATGTTGTTTGTTTATGACTTTATGAAATACTACATGTGAACTAAATCATTAGTTTTTTGTGTATATATTGGCTCCCTCTAGCTTTCAGTGCAATGACAAAACAAAATTATTGACATGGAACTTATCAGTATTGACATGGAACACTCTGTGCCTAGATAATTACATACCAACCAAGTTTGCATATTTTGTGAGCTTCTGCTCAGTTGCTCAGTAGGAGTATTCTTCTTACGTTGCAGAGAAGGATCAGGTAGTGATGCAGAAGTCTGGCAGGCACAGTTCAGACGTGGATACTTTAAGACATCAGAGCAAAATAGCTCAGAAAAAGGTATAATACTGAGTGATAAGTCAAGAGTCACCCTTTCCTATAAGCATATGTAATATTTAGAAAAAGTTAGAAGCTATATTATTCTTAATGGTCAGGATATACAAGCCTTACTGGGAGATGTATGCTGTGAAGAAATCATGCAGGATAAGGATCTTTATCTTGTGTGGCCATTAAACTAGCATTTGTAACCTATTCCACCAATTATGCTGATATTGCAAAAGATTTGATTGTGCTTGCTTGGAATTCTGGGAGCTTCTGTAAAAAAACATCTAAAATGTGCGTGTTTGAAAAAAATTTATAAATGTTCTTAAAATATTTTCATTTATGTAATAAAGTATTTAGCATTTAGTAAGGGGTAAGCAACTTATGGCCTAGAAAACCTTTTTTTTAAAACTCACAGAACCTATTTTGACTCCTCTTGCTGAAAATTGACAGTATAATTTCCCACCATACTTAGGCAAGATACATATAAAACCATAGTTGAAATCCCCTAAAATAAAATTAAAATAGTTATAAAAACCAAGAAAACTCTGGAAGCTAAAGAAAAAATGAAATCCTAGCCCTCTCCATGTATATGTGACATATTTATGCTCATTTTGTATTATTGCCACACCCACTGAAACTTTTGGCCTCACCCCTAAATATTAAATGGTTCCCCACTCCTGATTAACACAGGAGTTCTGAATATTCAAGGAATTTCTTTTTTAAATTATATTTTATTGTTAAAATATTGAAATACAAAAGAAGGAAATGAGATAGAACAAAAAAAAAAAGACTACTATGTATGGAGTAAAAAAAGAAAAAGGCATAGTAAAAACATTCTGATGATAGATCCTCCCCTTCCTTTCTACTTGTTTCTCCAACCCCTAACCATAGTTTGAATATTTATACTTTACATTGAACATTAGTAGTTATTAATTTCTATTTAAGTCCTAAAAACGGTATTCCATATTACATTCAAGAAGTTTCTGAATTCATTTTCTTATTGTAGCCTATAAAATAACCCAGAATCCGTATCAACTCCATATTGTAAATAAGAGTTGAGGGTGAAGGCCAAACCACACATGAAATGGAACACCTGGCAAGTAATTACTTATATTAGCCAGGGTAGGTGGGAGTTCTGTCAGAATCACTGTGCATGGAAGATAATCCTTTCCTCCCATGAGAAAATCTTCCTCCTACTTGCACTTGCTGGTAAGCCCAGGGAAGTAAGCTCTGACTGGTATAAATGACAGCTTGCTTTCTTTTATCTACCAGGACGTAACCTTTGTTTCAAGTATTCCACAGCTTGGCCTGGAATGACTTTATACAGCTTCATTTGGACACTAATGCTAGCCTTTCCTGCTAAAGGAAGATCTAGCCTTAGTTATGAATCCCATAGTCTGAGGTTGGACTACGATAATATACTCTGTACAAAAATGAAAATATTATTTTCCTAATAATTATAATTACATTAATAATTAAATAAAATACAGTATTCATAATTATAATAATCAAATATTGTTATGGAAATAATGTAGAATCTTCAGCAGCTAGAGTTTATTGTTGTCATCATGCACCACTTGTATGTGAGGAAAAAAGTTAAATACTCCCTCATGCTTGAATAATCATATACATTGTCCCTCCCGTGTCAATTCAAATCCTCTAATATTGCTTGTTTAGTAAAAGAAATGTTTAAAAGAGCCAATAAAGAATTCCTGTCTATTATGTAGTTTGGCCCACAGTCACACGCTAAGCAAGCAAATTTAATCTACAAACTCTGTAAGGATCAGGAAGCATAAAGTAGTTTGTTCTGGCCTGTTGCTGTATATGGTAACTGTGTCATTTTACTTAGCCTCTTACAGTGTCTTCCTTTAATCAGATCTGAGGCTTGAATTCCACTTAATAATTCTTAGGTCATCACTACCAGAACAACTGGGGCTTAATTTGTTTCATACATTGAGAGACACTCAAGTCCACAGTCCAGACTTACTTATTAAGACATTACACTGAACTTAATATATTCTGGGACAATCTTGCACCTTGATTAAAAGGTAGCCAACCATGCATTTTATTACGCATAGGACATTCATTTTTCCTGAACAGATTGCCCCAGTAGAAACCACTGGATTTTGGGCCTCCTACGTTTCTCATGTATTATTTCTTCCTTTGATCCCTAGGTGGTCACAGAAAAGAATAAACTTGTAGAATTGTATCAGTACCCAGGATATCGTAAGGAGGAACTGACACCACTGCCCAATGGAATACAGATGGATGAAATTTTGGAGAAAGTGATTCATGCTCAAAGTAAAACTGCAGCTGGGAAGGTACTTCAGACCTTCACTATTATGTGGCAATACTCTTATCTTCTGGAGAGAAATAGTAGGGATAGATTAATTATGTATTTACTTGTTTTAATGTCTGTTGGCACCTGATATTTATGAGCAGCCATAATGCCTAATTGTGGCGACTGCACAGTGTACTTGTTTTTTTTCCTTGCTGAGGAAAAAAAGTGAGTTCATTAGGTCTAGTTATCTTTCTAATTAAAGGAGTATCTAGACATAGCTACCTGACACAAACAGGAGACCTGCCATTACTCAGTTAAACAGAGGATAAATGTTGTGTCTATGTGCTCCTCCTCATTTCATTTCCCCTTCTGTCTTGTGATTGACAATGTTCATAGTGAATCACCATTTGTCATTACATCCAAAACTGGAAGCTTCCGCTTATCTCAGATGCCAGGATATAAAACCAAGGATGTAAGGAACAACTTTCCTGATTTACAAACTGAGATAAAACCAGTTTTATAGTTTGAATTGATTTGGTTGAGAGTGTGATCTTAATTATTTTTTTCAGGTTTTAACCATGCTTCCTTATTCAGATTAGCTCACAGTCTGGAGAGCTGAGATTCAAAGTGATTTAAATCCCTTGCTATGACTGCTTAATATACTGTAGTTCTGATTAGGCCCCCTAGATCTAAGGTTAAAAAGGACAATGGAGTAAAATATACAGAAAAATATTCTTTCCAGACAGTTTTTAAAATATCTTGACTAGCTGTTCCCAGCTGACTTCCTCCAGATGTGTAAGGTAGCAAGTCCCATTGTTGCCAAGCTTTGTCCATGCTCAGAGGGAAGTCAGGGAATTGCAGTTCCACACATGTGGAGGTCATTACATTAGGAAAGACACATCTAGACTATGGTGTTACTCTTTTGTTTGTTTACAGACACAGTGGGCTGTGAAAATGCTGCACAGGTTTCTTGATGCTCCATGTACCCGAGCTGTTTTGCTGGATAGTTTCTGGTGGCAGTTCCTGCACCTGTATCATGTAAGGATAAGGGCTGATTATTGATTAGATTGTTAGATTCCATTTTTTCTGATTTTCTATTTTTGATTCACCATTTTTTTTATTGTTCCACTTGTTTTGAAATGATGCTATACCAAATTTAGTGCCATTTATATCTCTCATGTGTACTATACAAATACAAAATTACAATAACATATTCAAAACTTTGAAATAATTGGCAAAGAAACAAATATAACAGATTTTTTTTTTAAAAAAAGATCTTATAACTATTGTTTTAATTTGGATTTTTGCATTAACAGGAATGGGTTCACCAGCCTAAGGGGACCCTTCCAACTCTGTGATTCTCTACCAAATAATGTTAAAACAATGTTGTTGTTAAAACCAGTGAGGTACATATTTATTGTATTCACTTATGTATCATGTTAAAGATTTTGTAGAGGGGAGAGAAAGAATATCTGATCATATATCTCAAAAATATGTATATTGCAAACCAAGGGCATCAATGTCACAAGATTACTACAAGGATAAAGCGGGAGGAAACCTGATAGTATCTATCTATCTATCTATCTATCTATCTATCTATCTATCTATCTATCTATCTATCTATCTATCTATCTATGGTGTTTTTGGAAAACCCATATATGATTTTCTCTTCCTACTCTCCCTCTCTCTCTTCCTGGCTAACTTGTGACATTTTATAAATGACTGTGGCCATTCTAGGGATGTTATGAGGATAGTCTAGTTTGTTCTTGCTTTTGTTTCCTCATTCCCCACCCAAAAAATTCTATTTCTTAAGTAAAATTGTGTGATAAGCCTGGAATTGATGGATAGCTTTCTTTTGTTTAGGAAACTTGAATTATCTATATATTGGAGGCCTTTTGGAAAGAAAATTAGGAACCTAGAGAAGTAGATTTTACTAGAAGCCTGGGATAGAGGAGAATATTAAGTTTTACTTTTGACAATAATAAAAATAAAAGCCATCTAAAATCTAAGTGTTGATGCAGAACTGTACTTATAAGGCCTAGAAGTATATGATACATGCCACAGATGTTAATTAAAAACTTAGTTGATTGCCCTTAAATGATAGCATTGAGGAAGGCTGATGAACCTCCAAAGTCTGTAAGTTAACATTCATACTCTATATTACGCTGAGCTATAGATTTCAATTTTCAAAATTCAGTTCAAAAAGCAATGATGAATATAGTATGTTCCAGTTACAGGAACAGTATTTTAAGTGAACTGAAGTTTCTAAATACTTCTCAAAGGCTGTCCCATTTATAAACAACTATGCTTTTCCTATAGGCTTCTTGTAACTACAGTTTTCCTTCCTAGAGTTCCATTGCTATGGCATTGTGATTAAATAAATATGCCTTCAATAACCATGCAATTTATTCTTCTCCCAATAGCCAAATCGAGAAATTCAGGGGCATTTGTTTGAACGTATTGCAGAAAATTATGCCCGCATTCTATTAGGCTGTCACAAGGTTTCCAACCAGGAATGCATCCTCAAAGTGAGTAAAAATTTGAAGTATTGGATTTTAAGCAAGATTAATGTTATTTTTTAAAATCAAATCTTAAGTGTGATATGATGCTTTAAATTTCAGAAATACAAGAAGACGTTTTAAATGTAAGGGTTAAAGTCTAGAAATGGGGCACTGTTGAATGTTACACTGAAATTTCCTTTTGAAAAATCAACTTAAGGCTCTTTATTCTTGTGTAAAATGTGTGCTATCTCTTCTTGATTCCCAGTTGATGCTGATGCTTGCCCCTCCTAGGAAAATGAGATCAAAATAAAGATCCACTTAATCTACTACTCTGTTTTCCTAAGGGGTCAGTGTTTCTGGGAAGCTTGCAAACAGAATATAATGACAACAACTTTTCTCTATTGCTTATCTCTAGCATCTGGTTTTCAAGGAATATGGAAATTCACCTGAATGTGCAAGTTCTCTCTAGCTTTCATTAATAGTAAATTAATTAATTAAAACTCATTATCTGTGTAATTCTCTACATCTTTTTTTTTTACTGTAATTATTGCTCCAACAGCATACACAGACATTTTCTATTCTTGCGCTTGTGACAAGTTACGGTTTTTGAGGACTAAGCTAGATTCAGCATCACCACTTGAGCTATTATGTAATGTTTTCCCTCAGGTCTGCTTCCATAGTATGACAGAGCAAGCTCCTAGTTATGAGTTACCCTTTATCTCTCCCTCATCTGTTTATTCTTGAAACAACAACTTGTTATTTTTACTTGATGTTTTAATCCTATTGTGAAAACTGCCTAGAATAAATTCTGTGATCCATAAATAAATAAAAATAAGAGTTGCTATTGCTAATTATATCAATAGTATCAGTTCTTTTTTGCCTTTAGTACTTGATCATGTATCTCTTTTTAGCTTTTCTTAACTGATAGACATACTTTCCATGTTCAGGGAACACTTTTAACTTTTAGCAAGTAATCTTTCCACGTTTGCCCATAAGCAGTATAGAAAAATTAGTAATTCAATAATGTATGTGGAATACTGATGTGACCCATTGGTCTGCATGAACTGAGAATGCAAAAAAATCACACACAAACTCTTGTGGCTGTGCTCTGCTGGAAGAAGGTTAGTTATAGATAACAAGATGATTTTCAGTGAAGCGTGACTGCCACCATTAAGCTTCTAATTGAGGAACTTGTGAAAAGGTTTTAAGGAGGCTTGATATTCCTATAACATAGTTTGAAAAATAATTGGCTGAGAAATTTAAATATTCAAAACACAATTGCCATAATTTTATTTGAGATTCCCCCCACTCCTGCTTTGTTTGAGTCTTTAGTTTTTTCCATCACTACTGAGTCAAGCCGTGTACACCTGCTTCTGCTCCTGTTTCCCGAGGTCCTGGTTTAATACCTCTGAATTCAAGGCCCAGCTCTGTGATGTATTCTCCGAGTGGCTGGGAGGTGAGATGCCCTGATATCCTTACTCAAGGAATGGATCATACAGGTTTTGACCAGGGATTTGTGTTCCATATTATGCAATACCACATTGGGTTTGGCAGTATTTCAAAATATGATCTATCTCACTTCCCCTCAGCTTACTTTGCTCATCCTAGGTGGGAATCAAAGGATTAATCTACTACTTACACATTCCAGAAATTAGTTTTTTAAATGATTGCAACAAAAATGTTGATCATGGCATAGGTTTTTGCGAACTAGAGGACAGAGTATGCCATAATAATCATTCTTTAAAATGTTGTGAGATTCTTTGTTGTTTCAACTAGTTATGCGCCCAAGAGAATTTGTCCTTGTATTTTTTAAGCACAGTATTTCTTATGTCAGTTAGGTAACTTCTTGAATAGACATTTAAATGCAGCATGTAATATGACATATGGAAGAAAGCTGTTTATAGAGAAGACAGCATATTCCACGCCTATAGTGTTTTATTAGCTTCTGGTGGTATAATCCTTTTATGGTTATCCTGCAAGAACTCAGGGAAAATATCTGAAAAGGGGTAGCAATATTCTGTCTCCAAAGTTTTCCTAATTGCTTGAATACTTGGAATTCTACCACCCTCAGCAGCTACTGTACCTGTAGTTAGGCTGTCTACCAGTATATACGACACGCTAGCCTTCCATAATTTACTACCTTCCAGATGCATTAAAGTTTAGTTCTGTTGCCTAAGCTGCTTAGACATTATAGGAGTTGAAGTTTTAATATATTTGGATGGCCCAAGTTGTAAGGCATATGCACCAAAGGCTTTTTCCCAGTATAAAGTGGTGGTTCATAATCTGAAAAAAAAAACATGATGTAGTGCTGAAACAAAGCAGATCTATCCCTCTTGGCTGTCTGAATGGAGACTGCTTGGGAAAAATAAACATTGAATTCTTTAGATAATCTTTAAATAATCTGATACAACATTTAAGTAAACTAAAATATTACATTACTTGCAAAACACATCCTGTTGTATTCATTTGAATTCATTTAGTTCTTTAAATTGTTTTGATTGTGGTCTTCCATCAATTTCTCCTTCTCACTCCTTTTGTTTCAGCATAAAAAGCAAGTTACACACAACATCATCCAATAGATTATGTTAATAATGTTTTGTTTTTCACCATGAATCCTTTTTTGCACAACCTTGTAGGTACACTGCATGAACCAAGAAGTTTCAATAAATGGGATTATTCCCAGTTGGAACCAGAACGATCCAGGAGAGAAGATTTGATGTCAGGAAAGAAAAAATTAGGGACTGGTAAAAATCCTGATCAAATTTATGTTTTCTTTCTTATGTAAAGAAAAATGCTCACTGTTTTAAATGAAGTATTTTCTCATTATGAACCATTACAAAGTGTTATGTGGTAAACAAAAAAATTATCAGTAAAATTTAAACAATATGCCAATTCGCCCTTCTGTTACATTTCAACTATGCTAAGGAGTCAAAATAAAACCATGTTTTGTATAGAGTTGGCATGGATTAGTCCTAAATACATGTTTTGTTTGCAGAAGATCCCAATTTTAGATATCCCCAATTAATAGCATTTCAATAGAGAACATGAGAAATCTTGAATCTTCTTGCCAGAGTATAATGCAGGGCTGGATAGATAGATCAATGGCCTAAATCAGTACAAATTACCCCTATCATATATTCTTCTGAGTTTTCAAAATTAAAGTTTTAGCCAAAGCTAAAATTTATATGGGGGTAGATATTAAGGTAAAATATCATTAACAGTACACAAATCTTAAAGCAAAGATCAACTGCAGTGAATAGATTAATCTGAAAAAAAATGTACACAATTTGTTTACTATTATTCTGTTTAAGATTTTATAGAATGTGAGCATTACTGGATGAAGATGGCTATTGCAAGTCCTATTCCTACTTTCTAACCCACTCTATCACATGAGCTATAATATAAGCCTAGACACTTGCTTTAGTTTTCTCAGGATCATGTACCTGCACAATACCAGAAATTTCCCATATGGAGATAAATGGCAAGCTAAAACAGCTCTGATCATACTATGCCTTAGATATTGAGAGCAACTCATAGGTTGTGTGTTTCCATCCCTGCCTCTTTCGAAAATAAGTTGCAAGTATTGTAGAGTGTGCACTGGATTCAAGGCAGGGAGAGAGTTCCAGCTTTGTATTGTCGAAGGCTTTCACGGCCGGAATACGATGGCTGGTGTGGGTCTTCCAGACTGTGTGGCCATGTTCTGGAAGTTTTGTTTCCTAACGTTTCGCCAGCATCTGTGACCGGCTTCTTCAGAGAGCAGGAGCACAGACAGAAGCAGTTCCTGGGCAGAGAGAGAACTGTGCCTGTCTG